CCCTGTATATTACTATCTACATGTTTCTATTCCAGGTAGAACATAAAATTCATAAAGACGTCATTATGACATTATCATGATTTTATTCAACATTTAAAAGTTTTCTAGATATGTCCAGATAACTTTTATGTGATAAATAAAATTGTGATAGTCATAATGACGTCATTATGAGTTTTATGTTCTATCTGGGTATCATATTACGAATAGTCAAACTAATGTAAAAAATTATGTCACGATTTTGACATCAAGAAAGCATCAAAAATTTATGCAACTTGACATCATTTTGACGAACTAAAATTTGATTATATTTTGACATCATTTTGACTTTTTTGTTCTCCTTGGGAAGGAATCGCGGCGGCAGAGCTAATCAATTCAATGCAGCAATTTAAGTAAGAAAAAATTGTTTAATGGCATAGAAAAACACTGAACAAAGAAAAGAAGGAAAACACTGAGAACTCAAAAGCAAAAATATGGTTGCTACAGACTCAGCAAGTAATGACTCGTCGATTGATGTCGAAACGATGCCGAATCGACATCGACATCGTCAAATTGCCGTCGATTCGACATCGTTCGACGAATTATTTCTCACTGGGGAGATAACGGGCTCTACATAAGATTTCGTACGGAATATGTCGTGTAAACCAAACTTGTCGCAAATACCGCTCATTGTCAGCGGATTCCATAGGCTGCTCGCCGTTTGCCGATTACTTAAATTACTTAGATTGTCGATATCGCCGCGAAACTCGCCGCGGACTCGATCGCCGGCTTCGACAACCAATCGGAAACCACATAAAACGGCAACAATACTTACGATTTATTCGACTCCGAACACGCACTTCACGGGAAAATATGTCTTTTTTCATTAGGGATATGTTTTGATCTCTTATTTACAATTTTATTACCTTTACGGAAAAAACACTCAAATTTTGAATGTTAACACTCAATTGTCCGAATTTACTTTCAAATTTGGGCGTAAATATTTAAATCTGAAATCAAAACTTGAGTGTTTTTCCGTAAGGGTAGTTATTAAGTAAAATCATACTTTAGTTGTCTATATCAATTTTAATGTTTCTATCTTATAATTCTTCCAGCAATGCCTTTAAATGGAATAATTCCTTGCAGCATTCTGTTGTTGCTGTGCATAAAATATGATACCTGTTGTGCTTTACCTTGAGTTATTATCTCCTGCAAATGCAATCTGCATTATGTTATGACCCCGATTTCATAAGTAATTAAATTATAAGAAATGTGTGCGGTGACACTGTTTCATTAGCAAAATATCAACGATTGCGCGATCGTGACTAGAATCCGAGCACGCAACCTAATTATACTCTTAAAAAGTCAGCAAGTTCTCTCGCTCTCGCTCTCGCTCTCTCTCTCTCTCTCCCCCCCTCTCTCCCTCCCTCTCTACCTCTCTCTCCCCTCCCCCCTCCTCCTACTCCTCCTCCCTCTCCCTCCCTCCCTCTCTCTCTTTCTCCTAATCCAGTAACGAGCAATCCAGATCGCGTCTATGATAAAATGGTGTTCGCAAGTATTCTAATCGTAAAGTTTTGTGAAATACATTTCTATCTATGAAAGATTCAACGAAGCCTTTATTTGTACGCCTATCAACCGACATCGCAAAAAGAACCCTTCTTTACCTTAAAAGAGAATCCCGCCGTGTCCGAAGTAGCGCGGCATCATAATATATGCTTTTAATATTTCAAGATCACCTTTACCTTCATAAAATATCCTTGATTTTGTGTTCCTTATTTGACATTAATATTTTTGTGAATGATTTTCAATATATCTACTACTATTATAAAACCGACACTATGATATGTGTTAGTGGTTAACGATTGTTCTCAAAATTCTTCTTGAATCCACGGATGTATGTATGTATGTATGTACATTGTACTAATATTTCACTTGTGGAACAGAGGCTTTCAAGACCCTCATATTTCTACTTGTCAAATTGAAAGATTGACAGGATTGCCACATCCTACTGTGTGGAGAATTTTAAAGCGGCATAGATTTCATCCGTATCATATTACCTTTACTCAACAGTCAAGTGAAAATGATATAGTGTTGAGAATTCAATTTTGTAAATGGGCTTTGAAAAAAATACGGTTAAACCCATTTTTTTACTTTGTAATGTTTACCGATGAAGCTATGTTCCATCATAACAGCCAATTAAATAGGCACAATTCACATTATTGGTCGCCTATAAATCCTCATTGGACTCACATGGTTGACAATCAACGCAGGTGGACTCTTCATGTATGGTGTGGAATAATTAATGGATATTTGATAGGACCTTACTTTTTTGAAGACAATTTAAACAGTGCAAGATACCTTTCATTTTTGCAAAACGAATTACCAGGTCTTTTAGAAGAGGTTGATATCAATACTCGTCAAAGAATGTGGTGGCAACAAGATGGAGCACCGCCTCACTCGGCTGGAATAGTCACCACTTACCTTAATCAAGTGTACCATGAAAAATGGATAGGCAGATTCGGCCCTACAAAGTGGCCTCCACGTTCTCCAGATTTAACTTCACCAGATTTTTACTTGTGGGGTTATTTGAAAAATGTAGTATATAAAGAAGCTCCGACAACTCGAGAGGATATGAAAAACAGAATAAAAAGAGCCTGCAATAATATTCCTCGGCGAGTTTTATTATCTACCATTATAAATTTTCAGAAACGGCTCCGTTTATGTTTACAACAGAATGGTAGTGTATTCGAACATTTATAAAATGGATAAA